TGCCCAGCGCCAGGACCAGCACGAGCGCCGGCAGTGGTGCGTCCGTGGCAGGGAGGACCGGCTCCCCGGGGGCTGGTGTGGGGACAGGGACCGCTCCTGCACGGGCTGACCTCGTCACGCCACGGCAAGGGCCTCACGGCAAACCCAGCAAGGCGCAGGCAGCGCCTGGACAGCACGCAAGCTCGCCGGCAGGCAGGCCACCGCCGGAGGCGTCTCAGGGTGTGTCGGGGTCTCCTCCCCTGGATGCTGCTCAAGCCGGAGCCTCAGCACTGCTGAGCCGCCAGCCACGTGGGATGCCCGCCAAGCGGACTCTTCCTGGACGCTTAATTTCACAAGAACCCAGCGTCCAGGAGCCGGAGTCACCCCAGACCACAAAGGTCAGGCCTGTGACCCTCTGTTAGAAGGGGGAGCACACAGTGCTGGGTGGCTGACCCCATCTGCAGGTGCTTGGCTGGCCGCCAGGACTGCAAGGGGCAGGCCTTTGCCACCATCACGCCGGGCAGGGCCCCTGGGCCTTGACGCTGAGTTGAGGGCGGACACGGCTCAGGCTCTGATGCAATGTCTGGGTCACACATCACACCTACAGCAGGAGAGGAAGCGCAACCATGCTGGCCGCACTCCTGGCCACTTCAAAGGCCCAGGAGGCTGCACAGCCCGGCCAAGCCCCTAACAAGCTTAGCAGTCACCAGTGAGCAGAGGGTTTGGAGAATAAAGAGATTTCATGTCACATTTTTTTCCTAGAAATACATAAACTCACACATGAAATGCACAGCCCAGCCTTGCAGGGGTGGGGACCTCGCCACAGCAGCCACATCGGCACCTGGGCACCTTGCTGGCCTAAGGGACACGGATGTCGGCTCCCGCCTGCCCCAGCGACGACCAGCCAGCGTCTGGCCCCGAGGGGCACACGGGGAGAGGAGGGGCCATGAGCCGGGAGAACGTGAGGCACACACGGAGCGCCCCACGCCTGCGGGGGAAACGCCACATCGCGGTCTAGTCTGCAGCCACCTGCAGTGCGCTCACCCCGGAGGTCGCTGAGGGAGGGAAACGTGTCTCAACCGCTCGCGAACTTTCCCGCGTGATGGAGAGGCCTGCGCAAGCTGGCGAGGAAGGGCACACATTGGGGCGGGGCTGCTTTCCTCCCGCACCCCTCCCCCACCCTCCCCTCCCCCACTTCCTGCCCAGCGCGGTTCAGGTGCCTGTGCTGCTGGCCCCACCCCAAACCCTAGCTCCTTGCCTGCCTGAGCCTCTGTCTGGCCTGTGTCTCCAGGGAAGGAGGGAGGCCCACAGGGGAGCACGTGGGACACTGTGGGGTCCCCGGACACACAGTGTCAGTGGCCTGCATCGGGGTAGAGCAGGTGAGGACGCAAGTGTCCGTCTCCCAACTCACAGTGCTACACACCATCCGAATCAGAGGACACAGCACATGGTCCTTCTTTGTCCCCCGACACACCTGGGGCAGCTCTGTGAAGACACTTCCTCACCTGACGGGACCTGCCGGGCCGATGGGCAGGCCGGCTGTGCAGCTGGGGGCTGCTCCCCTGTGGTCACCCCTTACATCTCAGGTCCCGCCCCACCCTTTGAAATGTTCCCGATCCCTGCTGATTCTGGGGGAAAACCCACAAAAGCCATCAACCCCACTCAGTAACTGGAACGGTGCCTGCCACGTAACAGGTAACTGGTAACATTTACGGGATCGACGGGTAATCTCAACTTTTATAGTATGTTGATTTTAACCCAACTTAAAACAGGCAAAAACCTGAAAAGACGTGACTCCAAAGAAGACACAGAAGTGGCCCATCTCATGGGGACAGAAGCTCCACCCCTCGGTCACCGAGGACACACAAGTCCAGCCACGACGAGGTCGCACTTCGCACCCACTGGGCACAGCACCCAGGACACAAAGGCAGCCGCGGGTGCCGGCGGGGACGTGGGACACCGGGACCCGCACACTCTGCGCCGGGGGCGACACGGCACAGCCGTGGGGGGCACCGCTAGGCACCCAAAGCTCCACACACAGCCACACGAGCCCGCAAGTCCCAACATGCCTGAGAGACACGGAAACGTGGGCTACAAGCAAAGCCGCACCCGACAGAGCCGGACACGCCCACACGCCCACCAAGAGCCGCGTGGAGGACACAGGCGGCCGCCCACGTGCTGGGCACCGGGCGGCCTTGAGCACGCGAAGCCACGCGAGGGATGCCGGATGCGGCCCGCTGTGCACCCCACCTGCGGGGGACGTCCCAGGCAGGCAGGTCCACGGGGTCAGCGG